TTTTTTTTTTTTTTTTTTTTTTTCTTTTTTCGTGTCCGGCAACGGATCGCAACCCTCAGTGTCGCGCCCGTACCGGACCGGGACCGGCAACGGGATCACAACCCTCAGCGCTGCACCCGCACCTCGCTCAGCCAGTGAGCGGGAACTGGTCTGTATGTGGGATCCGAACCCTCGGCGGGAGCGCCAAGCGGCGCACTGTAGCAGTGCGCCACCGGGCCGGCCCTCTAATTGTTATATTCTAATGAGTATAAAGTGGTATGTCATTGTTTTTGTTTAAATATTTCTCAATAATAGTAAGTTTGAGTATCTCTTCATTACTTGTTAGTTACCCTAGCATTTTCTATGAATTGCCTCCTTATATTTTGTGCCCATTTTTCTGTTGAGCTTTCTTTTTCTTGATCACTGACTTGAATATTCTGTATTTACATTTTTTTGTGTGTGTGGTTGCTGGCTGGTACTGGCTTGAATATTCTTGGTACTAATTCCTTGAAGAGAAATTAGTAATTTTGATGTCATCATCCATTAATTCACCATCTTATGATTTCTATTTTTGGAGTCTTATTTTAAAAGTTGTTCCCCATTCCTAGGACATGAAAATTTTCTCCTTGAACATTCTTTATATTTCACCTCTGATATTTAGATCTTTAATCCACTGTAGTATACTTTCATATCTGATGGTAGAGATCCAGCTTTTACTTTCCTCCTTTTAGCAAGCCAATTATCCTAGTATCATCGACTAAATAACTTATCCTTTCCTCATTGATACATGATGTCAGCTTTATTATATATCACGTTCCCATGTATACCTCACTCTCCTTCTGCATTCTCCTGTTCTTTTTGCCTAATACCATATTTTTATTACTCTCTCTTTGTGTTATTTCTGGTTGGTAGGGTGAGTTCCCTCTCTTGGATTTTTTTTTCTTTATTCTGTCCTGTAAACTTTTAGAATGAGTTCCTCAAAAACAAAAAAGTCCACCTGAGTTTTCATTGAGATTGCATTAGGGGAAAATTGACTTTTTCAATCTAGTTTTTCTTTTATGTCCTTTAATATAGATTTAAATTATTCTCCATAAGACCTGTACTTTTTTGTTAGTTGTGTGGTTTAAGCTATTATGATGAGTACCTTATTTTATATTTTGTAATTGGGTATAAAGGAGCGTTACTAAATCTCCCCTATCCACTCATTATGGAAAATTTCAAACTTCCAACAAAGTTTAAAGATTTTTTGCGGTGAACACCCAAATATTCACCCCTGCATTCTCCAATTTACATTTCACTAAACTGGCTTTTTCACATATCTGTCTGTCCCTCCATCAATCCATTTTATATTTTTATTCATTTAAAAGTGAGATATAAATATTAATACACTTCTCCCCCAAAGTCTTCAGTATGCATATCATTAACTAGAGTTCAGTATTAGTTTGCAGTTTTTTTGGGAGGTAAACTTACATACAATAAAATGTACAGATCTTAAACATACCTTTTGAAGAGTAAATGCATATACATTTGTGCAAGTCAAAGCACTACAAAACATTACTGTCACTTCAGAAAATTCTCTAATATTCCTTTCAAGGCCCTCCCCTCAGCCAAAGGGAGGAGGAGAAAGATAAGATGAAAGTATAATGAATAGAAGAAAGAGGTAATGACTGGGGACAAAATGGAGATTTATAAGCAAAAAAAGGGTATTATAATAATTATGTTAATACATCTTAGGATGCTACTGCTACAGCTCTTTATTTTTTTGACTCAGGAAATTAGTAAAATATTTTGTTTTCTCTCTTCATAGCTTTCTTTAATGGTTCTCAAAATCTGAAAAGATTTTATATTGGACTACTTCAGACCTTTCATTTGAAAAGTTTAGAATAGGAGGGAGGGGAAGATAAAATGAGAATAGGAGTGCGTGTGTATGTTTGTGTTTGAAAGAGGCAGTATTTCCCTTATAGAGTGTGTAATTAATTAATGACTGTAGTACCATAAAGCAGTTATAAATAGGAAGAAATTTAGAGGACTCAAGGATTTTTAAAGGCTTTTTTTTCTTTTTTTGACTACTCTATATTTAGTTTTTTCATGAAACCAAGTACCTCTGGTGACAGTTTACAAAGTGGCAGTATTCCATTGGCAAGTGAACCCTTGGAACACAAACCTGTATCGAGTTTAGTAGAAACTGACTTGATCAACTTTATGGATTTTCCAAAACATAACCAGACCATAACTGAAGAAACAAGCTCTGCAGTTGAACCAAGGTACCACAGGGTAGAGAGAACTCTTTATAATAAATTGGGTACCCTTGTAAAAATTCCATCTCATAGACAACCTGACTTGTGCAGCATTAAGTTCTGGCATGTAAAAAATTTAATCTTAATTTTTTACTACCATATAGTGTTTAAATATCTAATGAATTAATTAATCTGTTCGTAAAGTATTTTTGAACTAAGTTTAATGTTTTACAGTGGTCTTTTACAAAATGAGCTTCTCAACAGTAGAGAATATTTTTTTCTTTAGTGTAGTCATTGCCAGTTCCCAGAGAAGTATTCTCTTTTCTGTGAATTATACACTTTATGAGGGGTCTTCAAAAAGTTCCTGGAAAGATTTTTATTATATTTTAATTCTATTTTTCTATGAACTTTTGGAAGTACCCTTGTACTCCTAAATATTGATTGAATCAAATATTTATTGAGAACCTATTGTATGATAAGCATTATGGTAAGCACTAAGCGTAAAAAAGTAAATAAGATTTGGTCTCTATCCTTAGGTGGATGTTGGCCTGGTAGAGATTAAATACTTGTCAGTGACTCTACTGTACTTATTTGCATGCAATATCTTTGTAGGTGACTCTGTTTTCATAAAGATGAAATAATGTTTGAATAAAGCAAATGGGCACTTTGTCTTTTTAAAATAATGCCTGTTATCTACCATATGTCCTCTTCCCACTCCTCACCAGAGTCATCCACTCCACCCTGTTCTTCTGACCAGTTTTACAAAAATGCTTGGAGAAAATTAAATTCTTAAAAGGTGATACTGATTCTTTTCAGATATATTTAGTAGACTCAAAATTCTTTGTAGAAAATACTCTACCTCTGCAGATTTAGATTGTTTTTCAGCTCTAACACAGCATTTCTTCATTTTTTAAAGTGATGAAATACAGAAACCCAGTGGAGATGTCCAAACTATGAAAATTTCATCTGTACCTAATAGTTTACCAAAGCGAAATGTATCTTTGACTCGAAGTCACAGTGTCGGAGGCCCCTTGCAAAATATTGACTTTTCCCAGCGGCCATTTCATGGCATTTCAACAGTTAGTCTTCCGAACAGTCTGCAGGAAGTCGTGGTATGTAACGGTGTTATAATTATACTGTGTACTCATGTAAGTGTTTATTAGAACAGTATATATTCTTTTGTGGTAGACTTGTTTTAATCACATGAAAAGTGATAGTAAGAATTTTCCAATAAACAAAGAACTTTTAAAACTTTTTATTATGGAGAATTTCAAATATGTACAAAAATAAATGGAAGAGTATAACGACTCCCTTGACCCAGTATTTAGCTTCAGTAATTTTCAGTTTATGGCCACTCTCCTTTTATGTATACCTTCATTCATTTCCCTTTTCCTAGATTATTTTGAAGCAAATATATTCCATCAGATATTCCATTCGTATATATTTCAATCTGTTTCTCTAAATGACGAAGACTTAAAAAAAAATCATAATGCCATTAACATAGCAAAAGAAAAAACTAGATAATATCAAGTTATTCAGTCTGTTCATATTTCTATTTGTTTAAAAATGTCAAATGCATGTGTGTGTGTGTTTTAGTTAGAGGAGTCAGGATCAAATAAAATTCATGCATTGTAATTGGTTGCAATTCGTTTATTGATAAAACCAGGTTGCTTGTCCTTAAGACACTAGAGTTTCCAACAATCCAGATTATACTGATTATAACCCTATAAATTGGTATTTGAATCTAGAAGTTTGATCAGATTCAAGGTTTTTGTTTTATTGTTCATTTGCTTGTTTATTTTTACAAGACAACTTCATGGTGGTATATTCCTCCCAGTAGGAGACATATTCGTGAAATTAGTAGCTATGTATGGCTCAATGCCTAGATTAAGTAATTCATTAGGAGCTATAAGATGATGATAGTCTAATCTTGTCATTTCTTCTTTATCATATACAGTATATCTGTAAATAGAAACTTCCCCGCATCTTCTGTTTGGTTTTCTAAAGATGCGATTTATGTTGGAAAGGCAGGATAAATGTTTAATTCTTTCCTTTTATTTACCAACTTTTCTTTTTTTAAAATAATTTATTCCCCCTAGTCATCATCCCACAATACACAAATGAGATTTCTCAATTACTTTTATTTTATTTTATTTTATTTTTATTTTTGTTTTTGTTTTTATTTTTATTATTTTATTTTTATTTTAGCAGAAGGCCAGTACAGGGATTGAACCCTGGATCTTGGTGTTATCAGCACCACACTCTGACCAACTGAGCTAACCAGCCATCTCCTTTTTACCAATTTTCAAAATAAAAGGTTGAGTTCCAAGAATTCTCCAAGATGATCCAAAATTTGGGGGAATAGGGTACTATGAACTCATTAATTTAAACATTTAAATCCATTGCTGTTTTTATACTTATCGATGCTTATATTATCCCATCTTTGGTCAGCTAGAAGCCTCTACAAGTTGGCTTATTCGTCCTTTTAACATAACTAGTAGCTTTTTGGTAATTTTTAAAAAACTTACTTGCTTTCTTATATGACAAGATGTTTCATGCTTATGTTTTTGAATCAGCCATTTCTCAAGAAACTCTAGTTCCTTTTAGAGGGACATGGTATTTGGGCACTAGGGGTACTTATTGTCAACATGTTGGTCATAAACATTTTATTCTGATTATAATATGCATAACTTAGAAAGTCTTGGTGTTTTTTTTTTAATCATTCCTTAATTAATTTGAACTATAAAACTTTAATTCCTTCAGTTTTTGTTACAATCAACTGTAAAAACAAGTATAATTTTGAAAGGAGTCAATAAAGAATATAACATTTATTATTTAACATAAAATTTTTTTATATTATTTAACATAAAATTATAAAATTTAACATAAAAAATTTGTTCAGATTTGTAGGAGGAAGATAAGGTCACACATTTTTTGGTATCATCATTATAAAACATCTGAAATACAAATATGTCTTATAAGAAATTGAAAAAAAATCAGTTATGCATATAGCCCACCGCTCTTATCAACATGATTTTTTTTTGTGGGGGGGGTGGCTGGCTGGTTTGAGAAACTTTATTTTATAGGGTCTGTTGAAATATGGATTATTAATTTTCCCTGGTAATGATCTAATTTAAGGGTATTTCAGATTAAGTATTTTTTTTCTTTTTTTTTTTTTTAAGATTTTCATTCTTTAATGTGTTCTGCATTTAGCAATGGTCCTGAAATAACTGATTTAAAAAGGATAGAGAAGCATAAGCTCATTGAGGAATGCTTTTAAGCATACAGAAATAAACAGATAATATTCACTTTTTGTATTTTTTTTAAAGGATCCTTTAGGAAAAAGGCCCAATCCTCCCCCTGTTTCTGTGCCCTACTTGAGTCCTCTAGTGCTTCGTAAAGAACTTGAATCTTTGCTAGAAAATGAAGGTGATCAGGTGATTCATACATCCTCTTTCATCAATCAACATCCTATCATTTTCTGGAACCTCGTTTGGTATTTCCGACGTTTGGACCTTCCTAGTAACTTGCCAGGACTTATCCTTACATCTGAACATTGTAATGAAGGTGTACAGGTAGGGCACCGACTTCCATATTTATACTACATTGGTATCAGTTAAGATGAGGCTTAACTTCAAGCTACCAAAAATATACAACAAGAGTAGCTTAACAAGACATAGGATTATTTCTCTCTCACTTAAAAGTTTGGATAGGCAGTCCAGGGATGGATGATACAGTGTTGGGGACCTGAGATGCTTTTCTAGTTTGCTTGGTGCATGATTTCCATTTCCAAGTTCTATTTCTGGTCCAGGATGGCTGACTTGGATAGGCAGTCCAGGGATGGATGATACAGTGTTGGGGACCTGAGATGCTTCTCTAGTTTGCTTGGTGCATGATTTCCATTTCCAAGTTCTATTTCTGGTCCAGGATGGCTGACTCTCCCTCTAGACTATCATCCACATTCCAGCCAGCATTTAGGGGAAAAATGGATGGAGAAGGGTATGTCTTTTTTCTTAAGGGACAGCTCCTGGAATTGTACGTAATTATTTTTTTTGTCAGCTGGCCGGTACAAGGTTTGAACCCTTAACCTTGGTGTTATCAGCACTATGCTCTAACCAACTGAGCTAACCAGCCAGCCTTGTACATAATATTTCCACATATGTTCATTTGGCCTGAACTTAGTTATATGGTCATATCTACCTGCAAGAGTGGCTAGAAAAAGTAGCTTTTATTCTGAACTGTCAAATTCCCAGCTGAGATTCTCACAACAACCTCATTTGAAAGGACTCATAATACCCATACTTTTAAGATGATATAATTAAAAGTTAGAGAAGTAATTTCTGTAAGGTCATATACCCAATAAGTAATGGAGAACCGAGATCACAATTCAGCTGTATGATTCTAAAGCCCTTACTCTACTTGTGCTGGGATTCCTCATTCCACTGGACACAGTGAGCTCCTAAAGTTCCTTTATTTTAGACACCCAGACTCCAAACATACACCTCGGGCACAACAAAATCTTTCCTTAACATGTTATAAACTCTAGTTTGACTGACTCTTTTAAGTAGTAGTAGGCAAAACAAAATTATCTGGTAAGACAGTAGAAAATCTTGCACTTTGTCTTACCTCTTAAACTTTGTATAATGGTGATTACTCTTTCATGTAACCGTCACCTCATTTATCAGCTTTATCATTCCAATCCTTGAAAGTCAGAAGGAGAAATGTATACCTCAGAAAATAACAAGGATATTTATCATCAGATATTAATAAAAATTAAAAATTTTGCTCAGAATTTTAGGTCCAGAGTATTGAAAGAACTTATTTGTTTTATATAATCAAGGTTTGCTAGGTGTTGGGATACTAAAACATTGTGTTGATCTCTTTTAGCTTCCTCTGTCATCTCTGTCCCAGGATAGCAAACTTGTGTATATTCAGCTATTATGGGATAACATCAACCTTCATCAGGAACCAGGAGAACCTCTGTATGTCTCATGGAGGAATTTTAGTAAGTAAAATAGAATTAAAGACATAAAAGACTTAAACTGGAAATAATCCAAATACCCATCTACAGGTCAATGGATAAGCAAATTGTGGTACTCTCCATCCACACAGTAGAATACTATTCAGTAATAAAGAAGGACTACTGAAAAAAATATATAATTTATGTTTGTTTTTTTTTTTTTCTATATAAAGATGACCGGTAAGGGGATCTCAACCCTTGGCTGGGTGTTGTCAACACCACGCTCATCTACTAAGCGAACCGGCCATCCCTATATAGGATCCAAACCCATGGCCTTGGTGTTATCAGCACCGCACTCTCTCGAGTGAGCCACGGGCCGGCCCCATGAAAAAAAATAATAATTTAAAGAGATGAGAAAAACAAGTTATTTTGCTTTATTTTAAAAATTTAATTCAAATTGATTTGCTGTTGTACTGACCTATTTAACTGTCACAAGTCTCAAATGAGTTGAGGGATAATTTTTTGTGATTCTTTTATCAAGTACCAATTTGGTTGGGTATTTTGAGAGAAAATTCTATACAGTGGAAGAGCATTTTAGACGTGTTGGTATACATTCATAATTTCAATTATATGGATGGGTACTGACTAGTCTCAAAGATTCTGGCTTCATTTTTATCTTTTACATTTAGAACATATTTTCACAAGGTGCTTAAAGGGTTATCATTTGTGTATTCAGAAGCCTTATGAGTTAGTAAGAAAAACACAACCCAGTAGATAAGTGAGCAAATAATATTAATAGGTAGTTCATGGAAAAAACATGAAGTGGCCACTTGTATGCTGGGGATGCCATAACAAAATACCACATATTGGGTGGCTTAAACAACAGAAATTTATCTTCTTACAGTTTTAGAGGCTGGAAGTTTAAGATCAAGGTGTTGGCAGGTTTGGTTTCTCCTGAGGCTTCTCTCCTTGGCTTGTTGAAGGATGCCTTCTTGCTGTATCTTCACAAAATCTTTTTTCTGTGTGTGTGCATGCATGCGCATACACAGAACCCTGATGTCTCTTTCTCTTCTCATGAGGACATCAGTCATATCTTGCCCTTATGTCCTCATTTAAACTTAATTATCTCTTTAGAGACCTTATCTACAAATATAGTTATATTGGTGGTTAGAGTTTCAACATATAAATTTTGGGGAGGAATACAATTCAGTTCATAACACAAACATGAAAAAATGCTCAAATTACGTTAGTATTTAGTGAAATATAACTTTATTTTTTTAAAAAGTAAAATGTAAACTTATCAGGTTGGCAAAAATTTTTAAAGGTTAATAATATTCAATATTGTTGAAAATGTTGGGAAAAGAACACTTTAATATACTGTTAGAACTGTAAAATGATACATTTCTGGAGAACAATATGGCAAACAATATCCAGATTTAAAATGTGGATGCCCATTAACTCAGGAATTACAGTAAGACAACTATGTTCTACAGAAATATAGTTCAAAGCTGTCTGTTCAAAGATGCTTACTGCAGGATTGTTTATAATAATGAAAAACTTCTTATATATATAGGTACCTGAAAGGCATGGATGTCCATTATATAGTGAGTGAAAAAACACAAACAGCAAAACAGTATATAATCTTTGCCCTTTCTTGTAGTAAAACAAAGCCCCAAGATATGTGTCTATGTGTTTTTAAAATATGCATAAAACCCCCATATATCCCAAACTATTAATAGTGGTGGCTACTGAGAAAAGAAAGGAAAAGTTCACTCTTTATTTTTTACTGTTTCGTATTTTTTTCCAACAATCTGTCACTGCTTTGCAATTTTTATTTTTAAAATTAGAAGAAAAAAAATGATGCTTTCCCTTGAAATATGCCAATTACAAAATTATGATTAAATATATGAGTTATTTTTGCCTTTATTTTTATTTTTTGGTTCTGGTCACATGCAAATGCTTTTTTGGCAGGAGTAGAAGAACCTACAAATTCATGCAAGAAATAGAATTAGAACTGCAATTTCCTTAGTTGTTTTCTTGTATTTTTTGAAATAGACAGGTGTTTCAAAATGTTCTATAATTTGTGATAGGAGTAAAATTTAGAGCTCTCTAGAATGGCCATGTTTCTTTACTTGACTGGCTGCTTTAAATGGAGAATTGGCCTATAAATAACAGTAAGTGACATGAAAATTAAGTGAGCAATGACTTCTGCAATGGCAATATGAGGAGCTGTGCAGACCCATTCTCCAGTAAAACAACCATAATTAGTGAAAATTATTAAAACAAAAAAAGTATTATCTTTGGAAATTTTCCAAAACTGTACAGCAAATGAAGAAACATTTATTAAAAAAAAATTTACTAAATCTCATTAAAAACAGCAAGTTTCTGTGGTACTTGTGGAACGATTTGCTGCTCTCCTCCCAGCTCCCAGTCAAGGGCTACAGATAGCATCTTCCCAGGAAAGATGGGCTGCCAGCATTTCTCACACTTTCAGCTCTGTATTGCCGAGGCTAAATTCCAGATAAGTGTGGTCAAGAGGTGAGGGCTCAGTTCTTCCACCTACCCCCATTCATAGGGCAGAGGCTCTACCCCAGTTGCTGCAGACTGGGAATACTGGGTCTTCAATTATGCTTACTGCAGCTCACTCAAAGGGCAGAGGTTTCATACCAGGAGAGGCAAGCTGAAAAGACCAGAGGCTAATGCCTCCATCTAGCACCCTGCTCATAAAGCGGGAGTGTCACTCCAAGAGAAAGACCACTGTTCCCAGCCCAACCTCTAGAGCAGTGGTTTAGAGATTTTGCTCAGGGGGAGAGGCAGACCATAAGAACAGGTGTCTGCTTTCACCATTTATATTTAATATTGTACTAGAATTTCTAGCTAGAGCAATTAGGCAAGAAAATAAAAGGCATACAAATTGAAAAGAAAGAAGTATAAAACTATCTCTATTTGCAGATTATGTGATCATATATATAAAAAATTCTAAGGAATACACACACAACATATTGGAACTAATAAGTTCAGCAGGGTTGCAGGATATAAGATGAGTATGCAGAAATCAGCTGTATTTCTATACGTTTTCAATGAACAAAAATGAAATTGAGAAAATAATCTCATATATAATAGCATTAAAACGAATAAAATGCTTAGGAATAAATTTGACAAAAGAAGTACAAAACTTAACACTCTGAAAACTGAAATCAGAAATTGTCTTTCTGGGGCCGGCCCGGTGGTGCACTGGATAGTGCGCCGCTTGGGAAGCGCGGCGGCGCTCCCGCCCGAGGGTTCGGATCCCACATACGGACCGGTTCCCGCTCACTGGTTGAGCAAGGTGCGGGAGCAACGCCGAGGGTTGCGATCCCGTTGCCGGTCCCTGGTCCGGTACGGGGGCAACACTGAGGGTTGCGATCCGTTGCCGGACACAGAAAAAGACAAAAAGACAAAAAAAAAAAAAAAAGAAAAAAGAAATTGTCTTTCTGAAATGGGCAAAGGATCTGAATGGACAGTTCTTCAAAGAAGATGTACAAATGGCCAAAAGCATGTGAAAAGATGCTCAATATCACTAGCTGTCAAGGACATGCAAATCAAAACCACAAAGAATTACCACTTGTTATTTATTAGGATAGCTGTAATCAGAAGGACAGGTAATAACAAGAGTTAGGGTGTGGAGAAATGGGACAATCGTACACTGCTGATTAGAATATAAAATGGTGTGGCTGCTTTTGGAAAACAGTTTTACAGCTCCTCAAAATGGCCAACAGTTACCATATGACACAGCAGTTGCATTATTAGGTATATACCCAAGAGAAATGAAAACATGTTCACACAAAAAGTTGTACACACATGTTCATAATAGCATTTTTCATAACAGCCAAAAAATGAAAACAACTTAAATGTCCACCAATTTATGAGTGGTTAAGTAAAGTATGGTGTATCCATACAATGGAATTTTATTTGGCAACTAAAAGTAATGAAGTACTGTTACAGGCAACAACATGGTTGAATATTGAAGACATTATAGAAGACACGAGTCACAAAGAGCACAGATATGATTCCATTTACATGAATTATACAGAGTAGGCAAATCTGTACAGACAGAAAGTAGATTAGCAATTACCTAGGGCTGGTGGTGGTGGGGAGTTCTCTGAGTGATGAAAATGTTCTAAAATTTATTGTGGAGATAGTTGCACAACTCCATGGATATACTAAAAATAATTGTACACTTTATTTTTTATTTTTATTTTTTTCATACAGTATCAGCTTTATTATGAATGTGACTTCACATACAAAGTCAGAATGGCAGTTTCATTTAATATTAACTCATTAAAAAGTTTAAACATTGCTTTATAGTTATACAGTATCTGAAATTCCAAGAGGTATTTAAATAGGTAACGGATATTGCTACTTATCTTTGGATAGATAGAATAACACCATTATTTGTACTGGCTCCCAGACAAGTATGTGCCACTTGTTCCTATGTTTTAGGGAAGAGATGAAGTCACAATACAGGCATTATTGATGGAGTGATTCATGGATAGTTGTTCCTTCATAGCACTGCTAAAATTAGGTTCACACGTTTTACTTTGTGAGGGAGCTGATGACTTGCCCTTCTTTTGTTCCTTGGGAGCTATCACTCAAGGAATTGACATCATACTCATTCATTCTAAAAGGCACCAGAGATGGAAATCAAAGCCTCTTTACAAAGCAAATCACCTGAAATTCCTAGGTGATATCCAGTGTTGGTCTATAATTGATCTGAGATAATATGACAACATCATTCTCTTGGAACACAATTGTATTGATCCCACAATAAATGACAGGATAAGAAAACTCATAGTTCAATAACAGCATCCTTGTTACGGGACAGTTATGTCCCAGGTGTAGCATGTCATTACCCAATTCTAACTTCTGTGTCATGACCAGAGGGCCTTTTTAAAATTCTGGCTATCAATCAGTCATTAGAACACATTGAAGTCACTGCTGGTTCAAGCCCAGAAAAATTCCAAAACAACAAAGAAAGGAGGAAGGACCCTCCTAGGAGCACAGAGGTCTTCATCACACCAGACTCCAACACACAACAGCCCAGGAAACAGGAAATGGCCTGAATTGTGCACTTTAAATATGTAAATATATCTCAAAAAAATTTTAAAAATTGAGGGCTGGCTGGTTAGCTCAGTTGGTGAGAGTGCAGTGTTACAACACCAAGGTTAAGGATTCAGATCCTCTTACTGGCCAGCTGCCAAAAAAAAATAAAAGGGTTAAAGGAGAAACAGTGGAATTGCATATTATATTTGGGTTAGGCTGTAAAGTCACAGCATCACATGAAAATCAAATCTGTTCAAAGGTCATTATTTAGCAGGTGGAAGAGCTAGGATGGAAAATGATAGCAGCCAATATTTTCTCTTGTTACTGTAACAGAGAACTTTGCAAAATACAGTATTGCTTTATGACAGGCACTCAAAATGAGGCTCATGCTAATATGGGTGTAAATAAAATCGTATGGCTCCTGAAATTACCTGGATTGTTCAAGTTTTCCCTTTTGCCAGGCCAGACACACATTGTTGAATTTGCATATGTTAATGTTAGTACAATTCAATTCTACTCTACTACTGAAGCACATTTATGCTCTATAAAATCTCTATTATATTAATTAGGATTAGACTGCTATATTTGGCAGTACATAACAGAGGCTTAAACAGATAAAGATTATTCTCTCACATGAAATTATGGATTATCTCATGTTGTATATCAAATACTTACAGTTTTTGTCAATTTAAAAAAGAAAAGAAAAAAAGTTATGAATTAGACAGTCTAGGACTGGTAGAGGCAGCTCCTTTGTCATCAAGGATATAGACTCCTTCTGTTGTGTCTGCTCTGCTATCATTAAAGGTTGCTACATGGTCACAAGATGGTTGCTGGAGTACAAGCTGTCACATCCCAGCCTCAGTCAGTAAGCCTAAACTGGGGGGAAGGGTAGAGGGGCAAGTGTTCCCTATCTGAAGGGAACAGGAAAAATATTTTCTAGCTGGGTACCTTGTCACATAATTTTACTTGTAAGGCATAGGTGACATTGATTAGACAACTAAAAAAAGGCATAACTCTAGAAAAAAACTAATAATTGGGAAAAATTTTATTTACTGTGTTCTTATTATTAGATTCTGAGAAGAAATTGTCTCTCCTGTCAGAGGAACAGCAAGCAACAAGCACCTTAGTAGAAATCATCAGGCAGAGTATTCAGCATAATGATGTTCTTAAACCCATCAACCTACTTTCAGAGCAAATGAAGCCAGATATGAAAAGACAAAGGTAATGATCCAGTATTTTTTCCTTGGTGCCACTCAGTAATTTCATGTTTTTTAAAAATTGTTTTATTTTTAAAAATATCTGTGTTGTAAAAGAAGTACATACTCATTGCAGAACATCAGAGTGTTTTAGAAAGAGCTACCCAAATATATGCATTCATACTTGAGCATAAACACATAGTAAAAGTATCTGTCTGGGAGGATATATTAAATTTTAGGAAGGTAACTCATTGATGTGTAAAATGTACTGTGTTTTTTGGAAGCGTTACTGCTATTCACTGGAAATCTTCTATGAAGTTGTTAACATGGATGTGCATATGGTCTACTTGTTTGGGTCCTGTGATACCCACACATTTTTTCTTTTCTTGTTGGATGTAAAAGAATATGGGATTAGTAGTAGAAACAATTTAGGGAAGTGATAAAAGCAGAGAATCACAAAGGATGTGGAGCTAAATTATATTGAATATTACTAATGTTTCCAGAGTCTCTTTCAAGTTTCTTTAGTCATGGCATCTTTGAAGTTAATCTCAGAAGTGACGGGGCAAGAGTTGATAATAAAAATGGATGGATCTACTTGTTATCTCAACAGTTGAAGTAGAGATGACTTTCAAAGCTTGCTTCAAGCATCTGTAGTTTAAGGGCAAGAGAGAAATATTAGAAATGTCATGTTATGGGTTCTGAGGTTTCTAAAGAAAGCTACATGAAATGTCATTAGAATCAGCACTATCTCCTAATTTTTTTTCTATGTAAATCAGTTCATTTCTTAAGTTTTTCTCTCAAAAACTGATTCATAAAACTAATATTTAATGTTTCATTTCTGACTTTTTTGTTCGCAAACCAGATTAAGGTGATTTATCCTTTGCTATTTGATTAAATAATAAAGAGACCACATCACCTTTCACACTGTTTGTGTCCAAGGGTTTTAGACCCCTAACTAACTCAGTAGTTAATCTGTTACTTTGTTGAATGGCAAAAGGTGAGAGAAGACTCTGCTTCTGTAAATTTTATTTATTTTTTGTGGCTGGCCAGTATGGGCTTCTAAATCCTTGACAGTGTTACAAGTCTGTGCTCTAACCAGCTGAGCTACCGCCCATCTGTGCTTCTGTAAATTTTAATTAGAAACTAGAGTTAATCGTTATACATTACTTACATTGTTAAAAATTTATAATAAAATTAAAATAAGCCATTTTAAATTGTTATTGGTGTGAAGCTTTATTCCCATTACCTTTTTTGTTTAACTTATTAATGTGAAATAAAGATGCAGGAAGAAAACCTGCATCTGTGTATGTATTCTTATGCTCTTTGCCCATTAACTTTTAAAATATGTTTGTTTTATAGGAGTTTATACAGAGAAATCCTTTTCTTATCATTAGTGTCTCTTGGAAGAGAGAATATTGATATTGGTAAGTTGGCTAAAAAGGGATTGCTAAGGGAGGTTCCTAGTTTTCTTTTCTTTCTTTTTTTTTTTTTTTTTCCCTTTTGTCATTTTTTTTTTTTTTTGTGACCGGCAACAGATCGCAACTCTCAGTGTCGCGCCTGCACCTCGCTCAGCCAGTGAGCGGCCGGTCTGTATGTGGGATCCGAACCCTCAGCGGGAGCACCTCTGCACTCCCAAGTGGCACACTGTAGCAGTGCACCACCGGGCCAGCCCCTAGTTTTATTTTCTAAAGTAATTTTTAAAAATTATAGCTCGTATGTGTAAATACTACACTTGCTATTAAAAAGATTTCTACCTTTAAGTAAGCAGTTTAAAAATGCGTAATTAGAAAAAAATTACTGTACCTGCCAGCCTCTCCACCAAAAGGAAAAGATAAATAAAAATAAAAATATGTAATTTGATGAAGTACCATTTTTAAATGCACAGCTTTTGTTTTCTTTGTTAACAAATTATAACTGCATTTTTGGAAATTTCTTTCAGAGGCTTTTGACAATGAATATGGACTTGCATACAATAGTCTATCTTCAGAGATACTTGAAAAGTTGCAGAAAATTGATGTTCCACCAAGTATCAGTGTGGAGTGGTGCAGGAAGTGTTTTGGAGCGCCTCTCATTTAAAGATGAGATTTATTAGAATTCTGACACACAGCACTGGGGGAATAGATTCAGTCTGAAAACATTCAAGGTTTTTTCCCAAATCCTAAGTATTGGTGAAAACTGAAATGAAGTAACTCTTGGGGACAATATGTAACGGATTGCAATTCATACTGAATCATCTCAAAATATAAAATGCCATTAAAATTCCCCAGGGTTTATTGATGTTGAAAGTTTTCAACTCTAGTTAATTTCTCTGCTTCTGCTGAAAACTGTTTGGATTTCTCAGTATTTGTAGTAGTTTGATAGAAATAATGAGAAACCATATTCATCCTAGGCATTTTGTTTATATTTGAAGTTACTGGGTTTGGGGAATGGCAAATTAAACTTGCCTAACTCCCAAACAGATGAAATATCTCAACTATAAGAGCAACTATTTGTGTATGTGTGTATATGAGTGGGGCTGTGTAGGTATGTGTATATATACAGCCATATTATAAGTGTGTATTTATTAAAGTTCTTAGATTGCATGTTGCAATACAATTTTCTGAAAGGGGTCTCATGGACTATTAAATGATTGACTACTACTAAACTCATCTGTAGTCATTAATCTCAAAATTACCTGAAAGTTTGATGAAAACTGCCTTCCCTCTGACTTTAAATTTAATATATATATCCTTACCTTTCATATATTATCATGCTTTTAAATGGATTATATATCTTGAATATCCAGTTACTTCCTTCCACACTTTTCCCAGTACCATGTTAATTTGCGAAGACTTTAAAATTGTAATAAATGAGCCAGTCATCAGATAGTTAAATTAAATCGGTTTCCTAATAATTTACTTAATCAATTGGAAATGCTTAAAATGGTAAAGTTTATGTCTTTGGACCTGAAATCTTTTTTAGGCACATAATGTTGCTATTGGTCACTTTTTAAAACCTGTGGGATAAACTTGCACTGTACGCAGAAGTTTTATTCTTGTATAATATTTAGATTTATATGCTTATGAGTAAAAATGTGCATTTGTAAATAGTTTTTTTTTAGGTTGAATCAATTAAGTCTTAAAACCTTAAAGTTTATTGAGCTTGTTGCCAGTAGGTTTAAGAAAATCATGACTTCACATGCCTCACTTTGACATTTTATCATGCCTTTTGTTAAAAATATTTCTTAGGAACAGTAGTAAGTTTGCCTTAACTTTCTGCAGGGTGTAAAAAGCCAATGGTTGTATGTGTGTGTTTACAGTAATTATGCAGATAACTAAATCCGCTGACACAAAAAAATTACTTCCATGTGGTATAGTTAACAGCACAACTCTCCCTTCTACCTGGTGTAACCTTTAAAAAATTATTCTTTCAACATTTCATGGTTAATGTGACTTGTGCAGAATTCTAGTCTGAATTTATTGTGAAAATACTAAGTGAGAGAACTTGTTAGAAACTTTGTCCAATTTTCATTGCCTTTAAAATGGATCATTTGCACTGTCTCAAAATATATATTTTTGCGACTAAGACTTGGTACTAGTTTTAATTAACATTTACTGACCCAACAGAAAGTTTGGAACTATCTTGCATATAAAAAATTAAAGTTGAATAAAATAAAAAATTCTTAAGTTTGCTATGCTTGTCTCCATTATATTTTTAGGCTCCTGAAATCTGTAGGACTAATTTGAACCATTGTGATTTAGAATTCACTTACTGTCTTTTTTCCCATTTCTTCTCTGTAGTCCTCATAACTTGAACTAGTTACTTACCAAGCTTTTCCCATTTAAAAAAAAAATCTGTAACGATCTCCATACACATTTAACAATATCAAACTATAAATTTCCCAGTAACTTTTTAATAACATTTTAAATAACTTTTAGTTTTATCTTGAAGAGCTTAGCCATTTATAGGGACTTATTTCCTTGTATTAAATCTTTTTTTTTTTTTGACCGGTAAGGGGATAGCAACCCTCGGCACAGTGTGGTCCGCACCATGCTCAGCCAGTGAGCGCACTGGCCATCCCGATATAGGATCCGAACCTGTGGTCTTGGCATTCCCAGCGCTGCACTCTCCCGAGTGCCATGGGGCCGGCCCCTTGTATTAAATCTTAAAGGCTTTTTCCAGCACCTGTCACAGAAAGGGTATCACTAAAAATTTACTGAAAACAAAATTACTAGATATCTGATCTATGGAGAGATTTAGAAGTGCCTATGAGTCATAGCACTGTGTGACACTTTAACCCTGGTAGTCTCTATTATCTTAATCAGAATTTCTCAAATCTTATACCTGCCAGAACTCATGAGCTAGAATAGTTTTAGGAACCAAATCTGTCCACTTATTTCATGGCAACCCTCCTTGAAATAACACAGGGATGGTTCTCATGCTTTGTGCATCCAGCAGGTACTAGTTTAATACACAACTCTGGGTCACACACCATGACTTACCTTGTGACTTTTAAGTTAACACTTGTGGCTTAGTCCTTTTTGCTATATTTCCCCTTTGCTTTTTAAGTTCTTCAGTTTACATCTATTGCCAGTTATGTCTCTTTTATGTTACATAAACTTGTAACACCATTTAATAAGAGCAATGGGGATCTTTTACTGTTATCAGAGGACCTTAGGCAATGATTACATGTACTGTCCAGAACTAGCAGTATTGGGCTCACCTAGGAGCTTAATCCCAGAAATGTTGAATCTCGGGCTCCACTACTGACAATCTGCATTTTAGTCAAACAGGTGACTCACGTACATTTAGATTGCAAAACACTGCTTTAGGCTCTGTGAATGTTAAAGCTATTTGAAAAATTCACTCACCTGTGGGTAAATTAGATACTACACTCCAGCAAGTAAGGATCATGTATTACTTCAACCTTAAAGCCCAATGTGCCTTCTTTTTAAGATCCTGCTATTCTGTCAATGTTAGGATTAAATCAAATAGGTAGAAACCATAGTACGTTAGAAAAGATTCTATTTTCTCTGTGTATTTTTTCACTGATTCAAGTGTTTCTTATATAAGCAGTCAACCCCCTTTTCAGAGTGTGAAATAGACTAAAAGCATTAACAGTTCACTAAGTTGAAAAGCTTTGTTAACACAATAAACTTGCACTGGTTTAAAAAGATTTGTGAAATGCTTAAAAATGGTATCCATTAACTATGCCTTAAACAAGTTATCTTTTTAAAAAATGAAATGTTCATCTTCACAAAGGCACTTTTTATGTATTGTGTATAGATCTTTAAAAAAAGCTGTATTCCTCAAAATAAACCGTATAAAAGATTAATAGTCCAAGTCATTTATTTCCCCAAGTCGTTCCATGCCTTTCTGAAGATGTCTTATGTTAAGAATATTTTACTGAGCCACCCATCCCTAAAAGGAACCCTTTATCCTGGCCATCTCTTCCGCTATCAACAAGATGGTTGGTCTCCAAATTTGGAGAATATCACTTTCAAGTATCTCGATAGATTCTGCCCACCACTGGACTGCTATTTACATACCCCCTTTTCTGAGTTTTCCTCTTTTCATCTATCTAGCTATATAGTCAATGAAAAGTCAAGAAACGATACATGAGGTCTGATCTTATTTATTTGGTACTCTTTAAAAATATTATTTTTGACTGGACTCAGACTTAGAAGTAGAAGCTCTCAGAGAGGACAGCCTACGTCTCTTGGCAATCTGTTCTTGGCGTTTTTCCTTGGCCTCCTAAACAATACAAAAAAGCAGTTAAGGCTTGTCTGGGTAAACAATGCAAATCCATACCCAGGCCTCCCCCGCACCCCCCAAATCCTCTTAGACTTAGTTACCTTCATTCTCTTGGCCAAAAGTTTAGCATATTCTGCGGCCTCTTCCTTATTCTTCTTAGTGTGATCTTATTTATTTGGTACTCTTTAAAAATATTATTTTTGACTGAACTCAGACTTAGAAGTAGAAGCTCTCAGAGAGGACAGCCTACGTCTCTTGGCAATCTGTTCTTGGCGTTTTTCCTTGGCCTCCTTCATTCTCTTGGCCAAAAGTTTAGCATATTCTGCGGCCTCTTCCTTATTCTTCTTAGTGCGCTGTTTCTTCAGAGCAATACGCCGGCGTTTGTGTTGCAGGACACGTGGAGTAACAAGACGCTGAATCTTGGGTGCTTTGGTCCTAGGTTTCTTACCTTCTTTGTTTAAGGGCTTTCTTACAACATATTGGCGGGCATCATCTTCTTTAGAGAGATTGAAAAGTTTGCGGATTCTGCTAGCTCTTTTGGGCCCCAGGAAAAATCCAGATGACAACTCAATTGTTAATAACCTTATTGACATTAGGGTCAACATTAGAAACAGATGTAAGGTTAATCGAGTTAATAGTTCCATGAAAACTTACTTGTATGAGGCCTTTTAAGTCAAAGCTGAACTATTCTGCAACTTAAAACTTATCCCCTGAACAAAAAGATAAACTGCGCTGAAAAATAACCAGGCTAACTCTACAATGGGCCAATGTTTTACTAAAACACAATGGCATTGTTTTAAAACACTCTAACTGCACAACTGGTCTGTGAAAACTATGTAAAGCATGTATAATCACCATTCTACCATACTTTGAAGTAAAATTTTCACTGTATTTCCCCTAACAGAACCTGCCAATTTGGGGAGACAAATCCATCAACATCAGAATGTGACATGTTTATAAAATATTTCTATTTAGCCTTTCTCATTAGTATGCCAAAACTGCTTATGGATTATAGATGTTTTGGAGCAGAAACCATTTCAAATGTAATTATTCTAGTTCATGGGAGTTACACCTAAGATTAAATGCTCAATTGTTCAGGTTCTGCTAAAAAGTTTGTAAACTCCTATAAAGACATAAGAACCATCTTAAAAACACCTGTCAACTAGATTACACTTTTTACTGCACTGATGGCATTTCCAGGGCTGAGATTATGGGGAATTGCCATATATTTACCAATTATATTTTTTGCAATGTGAGTTTCATGAGGGTAGGAATTTGTTTACACCATATCTTCAAACACTTAAAACAGTACCTGGCACACATAATATGTGCCCAAATATTTGGAATGAGTGACTAATAAGCACACTATATGCCAGATACAGGTGTAATCACAGCAGTCCTGAAAAGCAAAATCCAAATAGATTTCTTCGGATTTATCCAGAAAACCCAATCTGAACTGACATGTTATTTATTCTGACGTAAATATTCACACATTTCACTACAGAAATATTAATGTCAATGTCATACAGCATTGCTGCTGTGGATCTCACTGGTAACAGGTATGTTGCCTAATACGTGTATATTTGTTCTTAAAAGGTAAAACTCCCAAATCCCCAACACCTGCTCCCTAGTGTTTTGGTTTTTTTCTGTCAATAGGGTAAAACAGATTAAAGCAATTTAGGATGAACTTAGATCCAGAGTGCATGCTCTAGAGGGCTGTTTTCTGCATGGTTTGTCTCCTCAGTCTGAGAAGTTGTAGGAATATGCAGGTGCAGACTTGAGGCCCGGCTTCATCTCCAACATCGTGGAAAAGGGACCATATACCACGGGACAGAGCCGTATGCTCCCCAGTACCACTTGGACAGAGACAGGGGAGAGTGACCTCCCAGGATTATCCACGTTGGATTCCCTAGTATTTTGGATAAGGTATTTTTCTAAATTCTCACCAAAACTCATCCTATTATCCATATCCCACAGAGGAGGAAACAAAGGGCCAGTGAAGTAAGCAAGCCAAATTTAGAACCTTAACACTTTAAGTAAGCCAAATTAAGAACCTGTGATATGACAAGTTGCCAAAGATGTGTTAAGGTGAGATCACAGTCCCACACAATTTTCAATCATTCTTATGACTTCTAAACCCAACAGCAATGAACTTAAAGTCTGGTAAGTTCTTTTTGGATAAATGTATACACCAATGACTCAAGAGGCAGATTTTCAAGAAAACTGTAACACTCTACAGGACATTGGATATATAGGTTGAGTGTATCTAATCTGAAAACCTGAAACTTTTTGAGCACTAATATTATGGTCAAAGGAAATGCTCACTGCAACATTTTGGATTAGGGATGCTCAACTGGTATGTATTCTGTTCCCAAATGCAAAATCCTTCTGGTCCTAAGCATTTCAGATAAAGGATACTTAAATCTTAAGTAAGGACCAATAACAACTGTGTATCTTGACCCCTCCCAATCTTTTTCTAAAAATCCAGGCTCCAAAGGTACAGATTTTACCCTGATATGTGCACAAAATGTTAGTGACAAATTACTAAAATTAAGCAAGCCCTAAATTGCATAATCTGTCCTACCTTCTTTGTTTAAGGGCTTTCTTACAACATATTGGCGGACATCATCTTCTTTAGAGAGATTGAAAAGTTTGCGGATTCTGCTAGCTCTTTTGGGCCCCAGGCGACGAGGCACCGTGGTGTCAGTCAGTCCAGGAGTATCCTTCTCTCCTTAAGAGACAATCGAACAGAAACACTTTATTTAATTCACCAACCTCCTTATTATTAAAAATCCCAAATCAGTGTTTGTTATGCTGAATTGATAATCTGTCATTACACTGGTAAAGAGACACATTCATTGGCCAAAGTGTGGATACTGAAAATGAGAAAGCACTTGGGACAATCAGCTTTATATCAATTTCAACAAAAACCTAACTTAAGAGCACAAGTAAGCCTCACCTTTTTTTACAATAACCAAGTTGAGAACGCTCAGATTGGCATCCACAATGCAACCCCGAACAGATTTGCGCTTCCTTTCTCCAGTTCTTCTTGGTCTATAACAGGAGTGCCCCTTACTCAGTAGCAGGCGGACACGGCCATGGGTCAGGACACCCTGCTTCATGGGGAAACCTTGTTTGTCGTTCCCACCACTGATTCGGACTACATAACCCTGCAGGAGTATACAATGGCACATTTACTATTTTTAAACCAAATTTATAAAATACAAGATTATGGTCTCTGAACCACACCTCTGTTCAATAATTCATTAAGACCAACTGGAACAACTTAATAAACTAATGTTTTCTCTGATTACTAAGTTTTTGCTTACATTTTCAGCTCGTCACGTTCAATTAGCAAAGTTTTTCATTCAAGTCACATTTCTAACCTACGTTTCACTAGCGATAACAGCATTAAGAACACAAAGATATTTAACAAACCAAAATGTCAATGAGCAACAAAAAAAATCAGAAACACTTCTTGGCACTTTGAAAACTCTCCCGTGGGGACTATCAGGAAAGCTACTTGACATTTGTTGAGGGTGCTCAAGGCAGGGCAAGAACCATGTTCGTGTAAACTTCCCAGCCTAATCTACATAACCCCGCTCTACTTTACAAAGTGACATTCAGAAGTAACATAAGCAAGGTCAGTAGACAAAACCCAGAGTTTTAACCCCATTCCAAATGTCAGTTACTAATGACGTTAAGCACCTCTCATTAAAACAGCTGCAGAAATTCGAATAGTCAACTTTTACCTTCCATTCTTCACCCAGAGCGTCAGCAGCAACCTCTGTGGCCATACGCTTCTCATAAAAAGTACGAAGCTTGCGTTCATCGTCCACTTCAATGAGTTTCTGACAGCCANCTTGGCCTCCTTCATTCTCTTGGCCAAAAGTTTAGCATATTCTGCGGCCTCTTCCTTATTCTTCTTAGTGCGCTGTTTCTTCAGAGCAATACGCCGGCGTTTGTGTTGCAGGACACGTGGAGTAACAAGACGCTGAATCTTGGGTGCTTTGGTCCTAGGTTTCTTACCTTCTTTGTTTAAGGGCTTTCTTACAACATATTGGCGGACATCATCTTCTTTAGAGAGATTGAAAAGTTTGCGGATTCTGCTAGCTCTTTTGGGCCCCAGGCGACGAGGCACCGTGGTGTCAGTCAGTCCAGGAATATCCTTCTCTCCTTAAGAGACAATCGAACAGAAACACTTTAATTCACCAACCTCCTTATTATTAAAAATCCCAAATCAGTGTTTGTTATGCTGAATTGATAATCTGTCATTACACTGGTAAAGAGACACATTCATTGGCCAAAGTGTGGATACTGAAAATGAGAAAGCACTTGGGACAATCAGCTTTATATCAATTTCAACAAAAACCTAACTTAAGAGCACAAGTAAGCCTCACCTTTTTTTACAATAACCAAGTTGAGAACGCTCAGATTGGCATCCACAATGCAACCCCGAACAGATTTGCGCTTCCTTTCTCCAGTTCTTCTTGGTCTATAACAGGAGTGCCCCTTACTCAGTAGCAGGCGGACACGGCCATGGGTCAGGACACCCTGCTTCATGGGGAAACCTTGTTTGTCGTTCCCACCACTGATTCGGACTACATAACCCTGCAGGAGTATACAATGGCACATTTACTATTTTTAAACCAAATTTATAAAATACAAGATTATGGTCTCTGAACCACACCTCTGTTCAATAATTCATTAAGACCAACTGGAACAACTTAATAAACTAATGTTTTCTCTGATTACTAAGTTTTTGCTTACATTTTCAGCTCGTCACGTTCAATTAGCAAAGTTTTTCATTCAAGTCACATTTCTAACCTACGTTTCACTAGCGATAACAGCATTAAGAACACAAAGATATTTAACAAACCAAAATGTCAATGAGCAACAAAAAAAATCAGAAACACTTCTTGGCACTTTGAAAACTCTCCCGTGGGGACTATCAGGAAAGCTACTTGACATTTGTTGAGGGTGCTCAAGGCAGGGCAAGAACCATGTTCGTGTAAACTTCCCAGCCTAATCTACATAACCCCGCTCTACTTTACAAAGTGACATTCAGAAGTAACATAAGCAAGGTCAGTAGACAAAACCCAGAGTTTTAACCCCATTCCAAATGTCAGTTACTAATGACGTTAAGCACCTCTCATTAAAACAGCTGCAGAAATTCGAATAGTCAACTTTTACCTTCCATTCTTCACCCAGAGCGTCAGCAGCAACCTCTGTGGCCATACGCTTCTCATAAAAAGTACGAAGCTTGCGTTCATCGTCCACTTCAATGAGTTTCTGACAGCCAGTGGCTGGGAAGGAGATATTCAGCTAAGGATTGAGAGGGGTGAAAAAAAGCTTAGAAAACCACCCAAACAGGGAATTGCAGAACCTACTTTGACAAAATTCAACCTCATTAGCATTTATGATAAAACGAAATCAGCAAAAAGTTTGAGATACCGATTTTACTCACTAAAAGCACGTGTAAGCGTAGCACTAAATTAGATACGCTTCCCCTCAAGCCCCGCGGAGTAACTCCGGGGTCCAGGGCGTTCCGCAGCCGTTCACCCTCCCGGAGGAAGGAGCCCGACCTAAGTACCGAGGGTCAAGAGCCGCACGACAAGCCTGCTGCAAACTGGACAGCACGCCCGCATCTGTCCCGTCTGGGCGCGAGGACGCCACCATGGCGCTCCCAGCCCGGCGCCGCTCCAGCCGCAATCGCCCGCCATCCGCTCTCCCTTGGAGCTCCGGCACCAGGACAGCGAGCCTATTCCTACCTCAGACCTTTCTCCACCTAGAGCCAGGATCTCGGACTGCTGGGACTGCGACAACGCCGCGTTCCAGCGCTCGATCTACGCTCCCCAAGCCTAGCCCAATACCCGCCACCACCGCGTACCTTCATCGTCAAGTAGCTGAACGCCTCCGAGAGGCCACGGCAAAGAGGCCCGACTTCCGCTTAGCCCAGCTCACATAGGCGCTTTCAGTTCTCGCGAGATGAGCAGACGCCGGGGATAGCGGAAGTAAGCGCGGGTAGGCGGGGCTTCCGGGGGTGCGGATATGAGCGGTGGCGTGGTGAACTCGGTGGGCTGTGGACTTGCTCCTGATGTGATGAGGTTAATC